CGATGTGTCTCTTTTCCAGCCAAGTCCTGATTCGGAGCAGAGTCCTTCGGGAAAACGGCAAATACATTCCAAAACAGGTACGGGGCTGCGTGAATGGCCTTGCGCTTTGCCAAGAGGACGCCTCGGGAGCAAGCACAAAGTGGGAGGCTGTGCTGGCGCGGTGCCGGGGTGAGAGGAGCTCTCGGGGACCAGGCAGCTCCTGCACAAGGGCCCGGTGGGGGCGGGCGGCCTGGCTGGGTCTCCCCCAGCTCTGAGCACTGTCTGGAAGTGCGGTCGGTAGCAGACGCTTAGGAAGCCTGGACACGGAACCACTCTGCGTGTCCCGTTCCCTGACATTTATGTTAGCTTCCACTACTTGGTGTTTTAACTGCATACTAAAATGAGGTCTGCATCCAGACCATCGTTTTTAAGATCAGCCAACAAATACAGAGGAATTTAATAACAGCTTGGGATAACGAGGTAGTCATACAACATCAGCTGTAACGTTTGCTGAACTAAAAATCAGTGTTGGCTCAGTTGCTGCCAAGTATGTATATTGTAAAATCGGGAAGTCAGCTGCGGGAGTGAAAATGTCCAATGTACCGGTATCAGTACTGAACCAGCAAAAACTGCACAAAGCGCTAAAAGCTCTTTAATTAATGTGGATTCCTTTTCAGAGAATTCTTAGAATTATTTTAAGAATTCTAGAAAGCTGGTACTCTGGATCCAGGGAAACAGAGAAGTGAGGCGCTTTAGAGCATACGGGCAGTGAAGTACCTCTCCAAAAAAGAAGGATGTGTTATGAAAGAGCTCATAAGATGTCTGCATGTCTGAGCAAGAAATAATGCTTCTGTCCTTTCATTTCTTACGGTGTTGGCATTGGCTCTTTTTGTTTGCAGTCTTTCCTGACCCGGAAATATTTTTTTAATAACCCAGAGGATGGATTTTTTAAGAAAACAAAAAGAAAGGTTGTGCCTCCTTCACCAATGACAGGTATGTTAAGGTACCATAAATATAGCCGGGCAGAAAAACTATAATTTTCTGCCAAGGTAGGAAGGTGAATCAACTTTGCAAAGAGCTCAGTGAATGTGAGGGAGGGGGGTGGGACTGTGCAGCTGGGTATTGGGGAGGAGGGGGGAGCGAGGTCCCTCTCTTTGGTAGCAACATGTCAGGTCACTTCATTTTGCTTAAATTCAACCTCCAGCTGCCTGCAGTGTCTCAGGAGACCACGACCACCTTAGTGTTGCCAGAAATGGGAGGTCCTGCTCTCACTCGTGTCCTTGTGTCAGTTTTTTGCACCAGCTCCCGCAGGACATTCTCTAAACCGATATAACTTATTACCGTGGCCAAAGACCTCAGCAGCAAATTAGCTGGATAGTTCATTGTCCCTTTTCTAGCTAAATCAGCTCACAGAGGCGTCAAGCAAGTTCAGTGATCTGGAGCAAGGGATGGGGTCAAACACAGACAAAGCAGCCGGGGTCAGACACAGCAGAGAACACAACACCCCCCCCCCCCAGCCACTGCCACACTGGCTGCTCATCTCATTTTGCAAACTGTTGCACAACAGTGGAAAATAATATATATGGGATAGATAGTGAGATAGGACTGTTCTCTCTCATGCAGTTTCTTAATTAAAATAGCTGATCTCAGGGAAGTAAAGTAATGTTTTGTTTCCCTTTATTGTGATACACTGCTACTTTACATCAAATCCATGATTTGCAGATCCTACCATGTTGACAGATATGATGAAAGGGAATGTAACCAATGTTCTGCCTATGATCCTCATCGGTGGTTGGATCAACATGACATTTTCGGGATTTGTCACAAGTAAGTGTCTGGAATAACACAGCCCATGGGTCTGGCCGTGTTTCTGATGATGACCTCGAGGGTCTGGGCTGCATCAGAGATTTGCTTCTCTACCTGAAAGCAGTCGATTGAACACAGTGTGAATTTGGCTTGTGGCACTGCCGCTAGTCAGTCCATGAACTGCATTGATTTGCTTGCTCCATAGCAAAGGAGGGAAAATTGTTTTCAGAGTACCAGCCGCAGTCACAAAGAAAATAGCTCATGTATTCGGGAACAACTGTAGTGGCAAATCCAATATTTAAATGTATTAAAACTGCCTAAACTTCAAGGTCATACAGTGGATTTTCCTCTGAACCTGTCCAGGGAGTTGGTTACTGTGTAATGCAGGGTACATGCATCAAAAATACTTCCTTAAATTCACAGTTCTTTGGTTTTTTTCTTACTGTTTATGTGATAACTGTTTCCTCAACAAAAGACATTCCCCTTCACAGTCACTGAAACAATACCTGTGATGGTTTGGCCATCTGATTAAGTTTCAAAAAGTCTTTTCATATTAAAATAAATACAGAACTATGGCTTTTTCAAAAGTACATGTTAACTTGTTATTGTGTGCATTGCATTCAGACTACATTAGATTTTACTCGCTTTGCCATTTGCTTTGCAATTATGTAGTGTCACTTTGTGAAACTGGGCTTTTTTATTTTTTTCATCCTGCAGCAAAGGTCCCGTTTCCTCTGACGCTGCGTTTTAAACCAATGTTGCAGCAGGGAATTGAACTGCTCACTTTAGATGCGTCCTGGTAAGCCTGTGTCCTCAGCAAGCAAGGTCCAATACTCACTTGGAAAATTGTGAATGTGTTAATAACCCTTGAATAGTCTGTGCGTGCTTCTGAAATGAGATCACAAGCCAGCTTTGAACTGAAATCAACCATGCTTGTTCTGATTTATCAGGGTGAGCTCTGCTTCGTGGTACTTCTTGAATGTGTTTGGACTCAGAAGCATTTATACTCTCATCCTGGGCCAAGATAATGGTAAGACACTGTCATTTCTGTGAAAGAGCTGGCTTCTCCTTCCATGGGATGACTTCCGAGGGAGGCTGGGGAAGGATTTTTAAACTTCCAGCCAAAAAGCTCTTGCAAGCCTCCCTCGCTTCTGTGAGGTTATTCTCCACTGGCGCAGTTTGACATCACCTGCAGCAAGTACCCAAGTCTTCTGCATCAGCCATTGGCTAAACTTCTGTGGTAATTACCCCGTGCTTTCCTTCCCATCAAACTGGTGTGCAGAAATTTTGCTCCCAGGCTTGCTTTTATTTCTAGCAAGTATCAGTTTTAAGGAAAGATTTCTTAACACTAGATGCAGGGCAGGACAGATACTGTTTCTGGGGAGACTGGGAATGTAGAAGACACTATTTTCCTCAATTTGTCTGCATATTTTATGTAAATTTAGCTAAGATGTACAGGGTGGGAACAAGATGTCTTGTGAGAACTCTTCCTGGCACATTAGTATTGCATGCTGGGTGTTTCTGCAACTTCCTAGTCTAAAGCTAGAAACCAGCATGGTGGCACTGTGCTCTAAGAAATGCTGTTTAAATGACACAAATAAAAATCAACCTCTTATTTCTCTTTTGTAGCTGCAGATCAGTCTAGGGTGATGCAAGAACAAATGACAGGGGCAGCAATGGCCATGCCAGCAGATACTAACAAAGCATTTAAGGTACAGTATTCCCACCTGCATTCCTGTTTGCTGTGAACTTACAGGATTGTAGGCTTTATGTAACTCAGCCTCTCCTTGCGTCAAGTAAGGGAATTGCTCTGGATTCCTGTTCCTAAAATTAGAGCTGACAACTGATGAAGGGTATAGACGTTGCCCTGGGTCTGGCAGAGCCCTAATACCCTGAAGTAAACCTGATTAGTTAGTCATTGCTGATACAAAAGCTGAATTCATGTGCCATCTTCTGCTTTTGCAGAGGAGGATTTTTTATTTCCCATGAGATGTAGTTCCAAAGCAGAAGCTGGCTCCCAAAAAGTTGTGTTAATAGTGCAGCTGAGCACAAGTCCAGCAGGGACATGATGGAACTTGGGTAAGAAAATCAAGTAAGCGAGTTAGCTCAATGGAAAATCTGTCAGGATTTGACTTCTTGAAGTTCTCCTAAGCAGCCTCTGTAGGCACTTGCTTATTAGACTGCCTCTACCTTTCACAACCCTAGTTTATGCATGAAGGGAAGGTCCTGGTTTCTGTTTTTAGGTACTGTAGTAGAGATTTTTTTTAGGTACTATAGTAGAGATTTAGGTACTATAGTAGAGATTTTAACCTGCTGCCTGGCAAGTCAGGATGGTCTGCTCCTGCAGTTTCTTGTATTCAGTAACCTTCCTGGTTAAGAAAACCCACATCACCCAGCCAGAGGCTCAGCCGGGGAGGAGGGTGGCTGCAGTTTGCAGCTCTGCTGGCGCAGTGACTGTTCTGTCACAAACTGTCAGCACTGAGGTGCAATTCCAACCGGTACCGTGCGCTCTCCTGGCTCACGTCCCTCCACTTCCTTTCCAGTACTGGCTGTCCAGAGCAATTCTGCCGTTCAGCCCTGTAGGGACCTAAACCCGCTACATAGTCCCCAGCAGGAACAAAGAGAGAAAGCCCATACTGCTGAAGAAGTGTTCTGCCCAAGAAACAGAAATCTCTTCATGGGTGTCGCATGATGTGATTTTGCAGGCTGTATGCAGTTTATTTCACAATACTTCCTGGAGCAACACTTAATTGACTAAGAAGAGGAGAGATTTGTGTTCATAGGTGGTGGAAAACACGTAGCAGGGGAGATCATTCTCCTATTTAGGATGAAATTCTGTTCTTAGGTCTTGGGTTGCTATGAACACCTGGCTTAATGAGTTAATACACTCTGCAGCTCCAGGGGGCTTGTTGCTTGGAGAACAGTCTAATGAGGCACATCAAGTCTGTGATCAGTTGCAAAATTTTTGGCCTGTAACTGTTTTTATCAAATGTCTCTGAACTAAAGAATTACTAACCTCAAAGCACTTGACCCCCCCCAGAACAGAATTGGCTGTGTTTCTAGAGACAGCTGTTCTAGAAGAAATGGACTATTCCAGAGAGTCTTCAAAAAGTAGAGAATGTAATTTTTCTAATTTCTGTGAGGTACTTGTATTGACCAACTATCTAATACCCAATTAAGTGTAAAAGACTGACAGGAGTATCAGGCTTTTAATAGAATTTGGGTTTTGTTGCAGTTTTTAAAGTAAGCACTGCTTTGCGTAGTTCTTGTCTATCTACTTTAATACTGTGTTGCTTTCCTTTCTCTACCTGTTTATTATCAATGCAGACGGAATGGGAAGCTTTAGAATTGACTGATCATCAGTGGGCCTTAGAAGATGTAGAAGAAGAGCTCATGGCAAAAGACCTCCATTTTGAAGGCATGTTTAAGGAAGAACTTCAGACCTCCATCTTCTGAATTTGCGAATATGGTTTTGTCTCTCCTTGTAAAAGTAATTTGAAAAGAAATCTGTTACTTAAAACTATATAATGTATTTTAGCAAGGCTGAGAATAAAAGAAAAACACCGTGTTCAGAACTGCAGTTACCTAACTTTGATTTGAGCCCAAGGCTCTCGGTGTGGGTTTCCAGCTGGAGTTCTCTTTCTTTTCCTGGGAAACGTATGCTGGAGAAAAGACCTAAAATATGTAGTTCTAGTACACGAAGAACAAGCTTGCTTGAGTTAAGGAACTTAAAACTTCATGAGACTGAAAAAGTCCAAGTAGTGCCTATGTTTCTGATTTTAAACAAATGCATAGCTAGTTATCCTTTGCTTTTGAACAATTAAGACATCATCATCACATTAGCAATTCAAAACTGACTTAGTGACAAAGTAACGCATCTTCAGAAGCAGCGTGGGGATTCAGTTTCTGAAAGCGGTGGTTGTCCTTCCTCTTTATACTTTTTCCTGCTACGATAATCGGGTTTGAAGCTTTCTCAGAAGAAAACAAAAGCAAGAGGGAGATACTCACCACTTGCCCACAGCAGAGCATGGGGCAACTCACCTTCCTCTTGTATCCAAGCCTGCACCAACGCTCCCTAGTGTTGCAAAATCCCATCTGCTTTCTTCTGCCCTGGCCAACCCACCGGTGGACACACCGCTGGTCACGGGGGCAACTTCTGGCCCCCTCTTTGCTGCTTTTGTTCCCAGGCAGAACAGCTCCCCAGAGGTCTTTGGGTAGCGGAGAGCCAGAGATGGCATTTCTATGCAGAGGTAGCAAACACACAGACTATTTCCCCGTTAATTTAATCCTTCCCAAGTTCCTTTATAAGCACCTCAGACGGCCCACAGAGCCCCTCCTGCCGGCCACACTCGCAGCAGGAGGTACACCTAGCACGGGTGCCTGGCTGTTCCCTGTAGTCCCTGTTCAGTTATTTACTGTGCTAGGTGGCGAAAATAAATACCTTGTTCTAAGCCTCCTGCCTGGACATCTTCTTGCACTGCAGAGAACAGGGAGCAACTGTTCCTGGCTTGTCCTTCTGCAGGAGGTCCTCAGGTCTCTCTTCCCCAGGGAGAAGAGTCCGAACCTGGGGAAATGCTTCTTAAACAGAAGCTCTTCCATACTCGTGGCTGGGGTTTTTTTTCCCCCTCTTTATTCTGAGCCCTTTTTTTCGGGGTGAAATTGCACACCCTCTTCAAAGCAGGAGCTGAGCCAGGACTGAGACACAGCCTGTTTTCTGTTCTTACCAAAATCATCTCCCCTCTGAACAGGAGCCTTAGTTCTGAGATGTTCTTTTCTGCCTCAGAGACTCCTTTCCTGAATGCTAATAACAGTGCTTCACTGACAACACAACTTGTGTTTCAGGTTATTTTTCCCTCTCTTTTGCAATGGGCAACTTCATTTCACTTCATGCCCTTGGCGTTCTTACATAAGCCGTTCCTGCAAGCCTGCTGACATGGAATACCCGAACAGCTCTGCATCCCAAAGCTGCCACTTTGCTTTCCCTTCTGCCCATGATGGCTTCATGCCACACTTTGGAGGTCAGCATTTCACAGCGAAGCTCACCATCTGCTGTTCTACATTAAGGCTCTTCTAACCATCTCTGAGGCTCCAGCTAAGATCAAGCTCCGCCGCTATTACACTGTAATCGCGACATGAAGACTTCAAACCTTCTTACCGGGGCTTCTCAGCCCGCCTTGACCTGCAAGATTTTGACAACCCTCCAGAGTCCCTGCAACGCACACCAATGCCAAATGCACACAAGCCTTTGCATTTAACTTCCTCAGTCTTTTCCAGCCTGCTCTCGTATAGGTGTTCAGGTTGCCTTGGGGAGGAAATTGCAGCAACTGCAGGACAACTATTTCAGTGGTACAGCCACAAGCAGCCCTGATAGCCCTCGAGAAAATGGACAGAAGGAAGGCCAGGACTCCCCTGAGATCTGCAGAGGAAGAGGAATGATGAAGAAGCTGTAGCTGAGGCTGCCCAGTGCCACAGAAAGGCAAGGGTGGGCTTTGCTACGGCACCAGATATCGGCAACCCAGCGCCGCAGGCAAGAAAAGGCAACCCTGGAGCGAGCACGAACTCTCAGATGTAGAGAGCGGTGCAGGCAACGGCTGCTTTTCTCCCAAATCCCAACTGGCAGAGCAGGGCAGGGTTGGCTCCACAGGACTCCCCTCCCCCAGCCGAAAGAGCCCCTGGAGCACCAGGCATCCCCCCAACCAGGAGTCTCAGGTCACATAATGAAAGCTGAAAATACAACAAAACCCAGTTTCAGTGCAAACCACTCTTTAATTTTCCTCTTTGTACAATAGAGCCAGCCACTTACAAAGTGCTAGTCTAAAAAAAAAAAAAACAGGTCTGGTATTACAGCACACACACACCAGCCAAAGCCCATCAGCTCAAAGGCAGAGAAAGTAAGAGCTGGGCCACTTTTTCTGCAGTACAACAGAGTCTGTTCAGCATCCGAGCATCGGAGATTTAGCCCCACTGATGCATTTCTCAGTGTCAGCACAGGTAGGGAGGCGAGGAGGAGAACAAAGGCTATTTCAGACTGATTTTTCTTTTAAAAAGCTCTTTTACTTCCCTCCCTTTCCTCTCTTCCCCATTTTGGAATGCCCACATGATTTTTTTTCAGGGTAAAACGAACAAAAAAATGCTGATCAGAGTAATTCAGTGCAGCGCTACAGCTTAAAAACTGCTTTTTGGATGCTCCCCTCAGTAACAAGAAAAAAAACAGAAATACAATATTAATAATTGTAAAAATCCCAAACAACACCAAAACCAGAACAGCAGAAGCAATTAAGCAATTTTGATCTCAAAATTCAAACTTCAATGCTTTAAAAGCAAAATTCCGCAGAAGAGGATCACAACACTAGTGTGCCAGCTAGAGCAGCCCCCCCTCCTCCTATTGCCTTCCAGCGCCTGGGCTAAGGCGCCGCAATGTGCTGCCCTCCCCTCCCATTGCTCGGAGCAGAAGACAGCGAGCAGCTGGCTGGGCTTTTGCTCGGCTGCAGCACAGCAGAGGTGCAGGGACGGGCACACAATTTCCTACGGGGCTTGTCGCCAAGAGGCGCAGAAAGGGAGCTGAGCTGGCGCATTTGGAGTTAAATGGATGACCGCTGTTACACTGACCATCAGAGAAGGTTATGGTCAGCAGTGAAGCCTCAGGGACTGTGCAGAGAGGACTGAGTGGCTGCAAGCACGCATTTTCGGGGGGAAAAAAAGCAGGGCAGTAGCCTGTCATAGCCTTTTGTTCTGCCAACGCACTTGGCTCCAAGAAGGAAAACCCTCCTGCATGGTTCACCACCTTGAGCT